ATGTTTATTAAATTAAAAAAAGCTAAAAATCTTTAAGTGGGTAAATAAGTTTATAGCCCAGTAGTATTGTAAAATACTATTCCTTAAGCTGTAATACAATAAAACTATTCCAATACTATTTTTATTATTTAAGACTTGTTGAAATTTCTAAAAAAAAAATGACTCCAGTTACTGTGGAAAAGAAAGGCAGGAAGTGCTGATTGTGCAGTTCCTATTTGCTTTTAGACACCAGGAGCAGAAGTGATGGGTGGTGCTAAGAAATCCACATGCTGAAGCCATTATAGTGCTGGCACCACTCCCTTTACCTCCTAACTAAAACATACATACTAACTAAAAAAAAAATCCCTATTGCTACTTCCACAGTGAATAAAAGCTTGAGCTTTGATCCAAACTTCTATAAGTTCAAAAGATCAAATGAAGCAGTCCAGATCTGCAATGGGAGAGCCAGGGAGGAGTGCCTACTATATACCAACCCGTTTCTCTCTAGCTTCTATTAGAAATACAGCTGAGCAATAAAGCAGTCTATCTTTCCCTTTGATTTCAGTTAAATTAAAATGAACTTAATTAGTCTGAAAGGATCTCCTTAAGTGACACAAAGAGTGAACAGTTTAATAGGCTATACAATTATTTAAACAGCGAGAGAATAAAAAGACAAACTCGAAGCATTAAACGCCAGGTTTGAAAACTCTCACAAAATGCCTCATAAAAAGGAAAATAGTCTGTGGCTCTTCTGAAAATAGTCCCAAATTCTGAGCTACTGGTTCTTGAAAAAAGCCTGCTTGGACTGAAGGTCTCTTTGTGAGTTTTAGAATGCCTTTCTACGTTACTGCATACCTCAAGGCCTCATATATTCCAGATGTGCTGAATTGGCCGAGAACCCAGCCTCCCAGTCCTCCCCAACACACACACACACACACACCAGCACACACACTACAATCACCCTTCCAGACTCTCCAGCCACTTTTCCTTCCATAGTCATTGCTCCACTGAATCCCCATTGAAAAAGGGCAATATCCCAAAACTATTATAGACCCCCAAAATGAGTAGGCACTGCTTTTTAAGTTTTCAGCCTCCAAGGAGGTGAAGTCAATATGCATTTCTCTCAACACATCCAGAAAAAAAAAGAGATAATCCTTCCAGCCAAAAAGGAAATAAAACATATTCTAATGATAAGGATGGAAAGCCACATGACAGAGCAGACAGTTCTCTCATGGTGAAGGTACTAAAGAAGTCTCTCCACAGTCTCGTCTTAATGGTAATTTGTCAGTCTCAGATTTTAATGACACTGCTGCCAAGAACCTATGATATACCATCTGCTATTTTCACAAGTCATCTCTATGTAACGTGAAACATGTGTTGACATGATAAAGGCCTGTTTGTACACCATAAAACACAAATTTATCTCAACTGCAAAAAAAAAAAAAAAACATACACATAATATCTGTTTACCCATCTCAATTGTATAGTTTGATGTTTAGGGTTAGCTTTGATTTAATTTCAAACTTGTGACATTCTAACTTCATGTCTCTGCGGCTCTGTGGTTATGCAGCAGCATCTCAGGATATCTCATCTGTCTTTTTTATGTCACTACAATCCACAGAGTGTTGGCAGTATAGTTAGCAATTAAAGAATGCTGGAAAGACTTAAATGTTTGCTGGCACATCATGCAATTATGGCCAGCTTGAATATTTGACAATATGCAGACATATGGAAGAATTAGCAAGTGCTGCACTGCGGACCTTGCTTTTAAGGTCCTATTACTTAACGCTTTGCGATAAGCATATGTGTTAAAAATATCATCCCTTCTATAATATTAATTTCGTTCACACAATTATTTATATCGACCTTGATGCAAGTGGTAACTGATACATATGTACAGGTTTAAAAATCAAATGTGTCAATTCTGATACAAATGTTTTGGAAACTTGAACTACTTTATCAATGTTCGGTCACATTTTACACCTGTTGCATCATGCAAATATATGGTTTGCATATTCTTAATCAAAAGACGTGAGAAAAATAAAAGTTCTTAGTTATGAGAGCTACAAGACTACATATAAAATGTACCAATTCTTGTACAAAAAACAGGTAAAATCACACAATGCTTCATAAAAAATGTTTAGTTTCAGAAAATCCTAATGTTCTTCTAACTATTTCTTGTATCAGGCCTAAACTTTTTAATCATATAATACTCAATGCATGTTTTTTGAGATGAATATTTCTTAGAAAGGCATACTTCTTTGTTAGAGAGGCTTACCTTTATGTAAAACTTGCATCAAAAGTTATACTGCCTTTCCTAATGTCTTTAAGGGGCGAGGCCTTTAACATCGGCCATCTGTTTAACAAAGTCCGCCCTGCAACCAGAGGGTTGTTGGTTCAAGCCCTGGCTTCAGTGTCATTGTGTCTTTGGGCAAGACACTTCACCTGCATTGCCTGGTGGTCAGAGGTGACCCCAGTGTACAGCAGCCTTGCTTATGTGAGTCAAATGGCAGCTGTAGCTACAATGTAGCTTGCCACCATCAGTGTGTGAGTGTGTGCATGAATGGGTGAATGACTAAATTTAGTGTAAAGTGCTTTGGTAAAGTCCTCTGACTTGAAAAGGTGCTATATAAGTACAGGCCATTTACCATAAAAGTGAAACAGATATATCAGCTATGATACAGACATTTCAAAGGTCCTTACCTCTTAAGTTAATTATCTCCTAAAACCAGCTGTGTTCAGCTGAAAACATATATTTTTCATTTATTAATACATCCAAACTGCATTGTAAAAAATATATAGAGAGTTGGTTGGTTGGTTACATGACTACACAAGTATATTGTGTAAAATATGATACAAAAATTTGTAATATAATCGCAATTCGACAAAATTCCATTTTCAAATCTCATAGGCACTCAATTTCAATAACATTACATTTAAGAGTAAGACCCTATATTTCTCATTATAAGCCTTTAGGTGGGGGTAATACACTTAAGGAGGGTTTTCTGCCACACACAAAGGTAGACAGAGAGTTGCAGCTAGCACGCATGCAAGTAGAAGTGAGAACTTTTTCACATGAAGATTACAGTAAAGTCCTGCAACAATGGACTCTGGAAAGCATGCTTTCAAGGTCACAAAAAAACTGAAACCCTGGGGTGAAACATCTACAGTACAAGCAAAGGAAAATCTAAGTAAAATTGCGATTGCAATGGGTTAAAATAGTTGCAATTCTGATTTTTAGCAAAATCGATGAGCTGTAGTTCAAACCAGAAAAAAACACAAGGGTGCGCTCTCCACATAGTGAGATTTTGGTCCGCCTCCGTAATTTACATAATTCGCGGAAGAGGGTTACATACCCCCACCTGGCGGTCGATACTTGCATCTCTATCTCATCAAAAAGAACTTACCTGCAGGGTGTCAGTATGCATTGCTGCTTTTGTAACATTTTATCTGTCATATAAAAGGCGACAAAACAACAAAACAATGATAAACAAATCATGGCAAACTGCCAATGTTAGTTACTACAAATAGATAAATGAGCATACACAGAATTCATGTTCTTCTGTTTGCCCTTGCAAAAAAAAAAAAGAAAAGGGGAATGAAAAGGTGTCCAAGAATTGAAGAAAATTTTTCACAAGGATGTTTATTTCCAATAACAGGTAAGGACTCATTTAATCTGACATTAAAGGGCTAATTGTTTAAAAAAATAAAATAAATAAATCCAAATGTATGAAAACAAATTAAATGATATTTTTTTATATTTCAACTTTCTTGCTATAACGAAAAGTATCCCTATTTGTATATAAACAGACTCGAAAAAGATACTCAACAATACGTCTATCACTATGATTTCACAAAGGAAAGAATGTGTGACCCTATGTGTTCTTAAAAGCAAAGAAAATACTCCAGACTTTTCCCCCATCCTTTTTTTCCATCAACGCCCCTTCTTGGACTCAGTGGGAGCCGAAATAATGTGGAAAGATGGTGATCTCTCAAGCCAGAAAATAAATTTCACTCAAAAAATCCCACTCTCATGCCCAGGTATTATATAAATTTAGAAAAAAAATCACTACCTGTATGTTCAAGGTTAGATTCTCTAGTGCATCTGCTTGTAAAAACTTTCATTTTGTAATATCAAAAAAGAATAGTAAATAAATATGAAAACTTTTCAATTTGAATCACTTAGTGAAGCAGTGATCCATTCAGGTAAACCTTTAGAAAAAACAAACATTAAAAAAGAAAAAAAGGTTTGAATAATTATTTTAGGTCAAACTAAGTTACCATATGTTGTGAGGAACTTTCTTTTGTCAAACCAAACTGTCTTCCAAGTGATGAGAAAACAGATTGTCAAATATGACCTAATTTAATGAGCAGCTTCATGGCTGTGCTGTTTACTTTAACTAATACTTTTATTGCTGATCAAAGCATGATGGCTGTAACATCCAGTATTGTTCTTTTTTTATTATTTAATTGTCTTGGCAGTGAATGCATTTGGAACTTTTATCATTTTTCACAATAAATGTCATACTTTGAAGAATATCATCTTCAACTCCAGTCCTTAATTTTTTCTTAAGCACCTCAAATAGCGGGATTGAGACAGTAAAATCAAATTCCCTTTCTTTGTCTTGCCTCAGAATAAAAAATCTAGAATATCTCTTCTCAAACCACACATTTATAAAATAGACCTATATTATTGATGGTCTTAACAAAAGTCCTTCACTGCAGCACAGGTTAACCTCTCACCCTCTGAATCTTTCAAAAGTCACATGATGTACCCCAGATAAACATAACAATAATCTCTATGAGAGACCTACAAACTAAAATCTAATGAAAGGTAAGGTATGTTAATGTTAGATTCTCAGCAACAGGTAATCTTTTCATGGTAATAAAAAGGAATAAAAGTTGGTATGCAGCTCCTTTCTATCACAGACTTCATTGGCCCCAGCTGCCAAGTTTGGGCTGGGTGCCAGATCATCTTCAGATTTTGGACCAGATACATTTAACAATAAACCTTGTCTTACCTGCTCTGACAATTTGGAGAATTAGAATGAAGGTGCCCACAGTGACTAATAGACGCCTTTTCGTTTTCCACCTGATGGTCCATCTTTCCATCTCCATGGTGAGCGCCCGCGCTGCTGTAGAAAAAAACAAAAACGGGCGACTTGATTTAAAAAGTTCGACCCCCTCAAAATCCACTGACAATGTGTTTTTTTCTGCTAAAGCGCCATGTGTGAAAGTGTATATATATATTTATCTCTGAGTCAAACTGGGCCCCTAAGATCCTATCCCCCTAAGCCCAGATCTCAGAGTGATGGTGAAGAGGTCTCATGGAAAAGGGGGAGAAAAAAAAGGAAAAAAAGCTCAAGATACTTAAGAGAGCTGCGGCGTGAGGAGGCAGGACAAACACCGGAACACTACCCGATCCCACTGTGACAGACTTAGACTTTAAAAGGAAATTCGCAGATCATCAAATCAGGAGTTGCGGACTTAATTGTTTGGCCCGCCTCCCTGCGCGCTCCAAGAAAAAAGGAAACAGCATCAACCGGCGCATCGCTGCATCCAGATGCTTTACGCACAGCCGACCCAAGGCTATACAGGGCTCAGGGGGGTATGAAGGAAAAGCAGCAGAGCGCTGATAATCTGATCTTAGTTTCAAACAGAATATTTGCATAACATGTTGTTCTACCAAGACAAAAAGGAAAGGGCTGGCCAGCTTGCCATTTTTAATTGTGCACCAAGTAATGCTGCATATATTTTTATTCTTTCAATATTTTTTAGTTCTGTACCTACTGTTCACAAGCAGCAATTACTGTATATCACTGAAGCCACTAAGGAAGATATACAAGGGCGTAACTATCGGTAAGCAGAGGGTGCATTTGCTTAGGGGCCCCCCATCCCTCTTAGGGGCCCCGTCACTGGCACCTGGTTGGCCCCCTATGCAATTGTGGTCTAAGACAGCTCTTTCCAGATGTAATGGTGTGAAAAATTCCTTTTAAACCCACCTGTTATTGGGTAGAGTGACCAGACCTTATTTTTACCCCAACACATGGCAGATTTCAACCTGATGTTGAGCTGTTTAAATGCCACACCAATAGCAAAGTAGACAGTTGTACTTTTAATTACTATGTTAATAATAACTATGTATAGTTCATTAAATGGTTGGTAAAAATAAAAAATAAAATACACTAATATGTTTCAAACCGCAATAAAGATCTTAAAAGAACAATGTATTTGAGTATTTTATTTTTTACAATACGACTTGGAATTATGGGTAATCCAGAGCGGGATGGGGTGTTGTACTTCATATGGGGCGCACCCAGATAATGTTGCTTACGGGCCTAATGTTGTGTCGTTACGCCATTGAATTGGACAGTATAGAGCTTTAAAAGGAAGCTAATTTTATTGCATTATGTCATTTCATAACATGATAATGTTAATATTATTGATTAACTCTGAAAAATCTACTAATGTTTTCACTTAAACTTATAATTTAGTGCTCACATGCTCAAATCTCTTAAATGTGAAGGCTTCTTCTTCTATCTTTAGTTTCTTTTAAAAAATGGTTGAAAAGGTATAACTATGAGAAATGTTATGTGTCGTACAAAAGTAGTTTCTTTATTTATCATGTAATAAATTACATACTTACTACATGTGTATGATTATATATCTAAAACACCATTTTTGACTCTTTTAAAGATAGGAGATGTTTCAACATTTTTCATATTGTATTAATTGCTCAGGTGGTCCCTTAATAAAAAATCTAAACTTACTTAAGATCAGTGGAAGATATGAAAGGCTATTTTACCAAAGCTTCTGTGAGACTGGCTGAGTTTTTTCCTTTGCCAGCAGTAGTTCATGGTTTGATAATGATTATTGCCTAAAATAAATAATAAAAGCACAGACTGTAGCCATAGAGGTCTGCACTTTGTTTTTGTAATCAGATTTCACAATTGCAAATGGTTTTGAGAAAGCAAGGAAGTAAAAAAAAAACAAATTTAATTTTAGAAAATAGTTAAAAGTTACCCTTGTGTCAAGCATTCCAGCTTTCATTCTTCTTTGTCTCCTAAATATTTTTGGCCTCCTTGCTTTTGATTTTACACAGTGTACTGATCTTGGGCTGAGTCTTGCATTTGAGTCCTCATTTTGAGTACCACTCGCCAAAAAGAAAAAACTGACACTAAACTTTTTAGTCTCTAAATGGACAAGTGCTGGAAAAACTAACACTGCACATCCCCCTTAAACATTGTCTGCAAGTTAGAAAATGGGGGTAGCTGTATCATGTTGCACAGATGCTTCGTTTTGTTTTTCTAAGCAGGAATAACAAGGTGGACATAGTAATGGGAGGAGGGATTTAGTTACATACAGGACTGAATCCAGTGTTCAGACATTCAGCCAGTGAATTGATGAATAACTAAATGATGTGTTCAGAATAAAACTGACAAGCCTTAATTTTGTTTTTGCTCAGTAGTGGTTCATCACTGGCTTTAGGTTCCTTTGGTAGATTGCTAAGCAAATTTGTTTTGTCTTGAATTTTTCAAATTTTTTTTGGTGCACCATGTCAGGAATTCTTGTTGAGAATAAAGCTAAATAAATAAATATTGGTTAAATTTCAGGTTTCATGGAACAGCAGAGGAGGAAACTGGACAAAGCAAAATGGATACTTTTCCTTCTCTAAACAGCCTTGCCCAGTCAGCAGGACATTATGCATTGACAGATGTGCAGCTTGTTGTACAGTGTACAATTTTCAAAGAAGGTTGGGTTTAAAGTTGTCCTCTTTGTAGCTGGAATCATATGATTACAACTGGTGCATATACTACCAATGTGTGCCAAAATGACATTCTGTAATTATTCTATAATAAGCCAATAGTCTTTGCATGGGTCAGACAGGGGCAGCTTTGAAAATAAATGCAGCCCGGCTGATTTGTTTTTATGTTTTTAAAGAAAGCCTTTTAATCAAAGCTTTGAAATTTCAAACAGAAACCTTTTTATTGCCATCCAAAACCATTAAGCTGGCTCTGCTATCAAAGGATCTTGAGTTTAAATGAGGAAATTAAAGTCTCCTAAACAAATGCATGGTAATATAACACAGTAATGTGATATGTATGAAGTATTTTTAAAGGTGAACAAAAAATATTAATACATTTTTTCTCTTGTTTTACACAATAACTGTAAAGATATAGAATACATGAGATTGGTTATAGAGAAATCTTTAGACATGATAAAAGCCCATGTCTACTATAGTTTTTGTTGATCAGATGTTAGTTTTAAGTGAAATTTAAAAAAGGTTTTTGAAAACACTTACAAGAATATAATATAATAATAATAATAATAATAATAATAATTATTATTATTATTATTATTATTACCTATAATATTCCTTCCATAAGGAATTTTGTCTACTATATCAACATAATCTTTTATATTATGTGACAAGTTCAGTCTGTATACAGTAGAATGAAATAAGTCACTTTTGTTTGGAAAGTATGTTGTTTGTTTAACTGTGAAATATATATCCGTATACTATCGAGACTTAAGCAGTACTAGCAACTGGGATTATTCATAATAATAAAAAATTAAATTATACATTTTTTTATTAATTATTATTTTGCTTTTTTTGTTTTTTTACAGCAGGCTTAATGACCCAATTCTGATATTTGGAGCCACTTTCATATGTGGTACTAAATCGGATCATATCTAAGCTTTTTAAGTTTCTGTCCATGAAAAACAGCAGATCCAACAGTGCTGATATTCCTCCTTTACACGTTATCAGTACAAACATACCACACCAGACTGGTAATGAAATTCATGCCAACAGATGCCCTAAGTGTATAATCCTAATGCATGGCATTCTGAACTTTTTAGAATGCCAGCTTCGAGATAAAAATATGGTGGATTGTACCAGAAAATTGAGGGATGCACATCAAAGAGGTTTTCAGTTTGAGCAATATTTCATAACATATGGCAAGATCAACAGATAGGGTAAACAAATATCAGCTTTTCCCTTTGGCTAAACTTCTCCTAAGACACCAATCCCTTTGTAAAACTGTAGGGCGAGCTGGACTTAAGAACATCAGATGAGAACCAGGACTATGGATGATGAAGAGAGATTGTGCAAAAACGAGAACAAAAATCCAAAGCGAAAAACAAACATACGGTATATATATTTATATATATATACATACATATTTATATATATATATATATACATACATATTTATA